GAAGTCGTATTCTATTTAGCGTTTACAGTAACGACACGGGCAGTTCTTTACATAAGTGATTCAAATTGATGTTCTGACACGACTAATTTACAGAAGGTCCGGCCTGTCAAATATCCGGCAGCAGTCCGGTGTTTACGTAACAGCTGTGTCCACCAAACCCGTTACAGTGCAGAGCATATCCTCGGTGTCCACATTCCGATAGTTCGCCTGATCCCATGTCGACAAATATAATTAAGGATTGACAAATACCTTTCGGCAATGTTTTCTCATATGCACGAACGTCTCTCTATATATATTCAGAGTACCGGTCATTTGAGGCAAGACGAGCCACTTCAGACATTTTTTTGTAAACGCATAGTCCGGCGTGGTCTAATGTCTATTCTGGATATTTTAATTCTCAGAAAAAGCGTCTTGAGTCACGAATTTCCGAGATTTGTTGTTACTCTGTAATTCAGTTCCGTTTCATAGGCCTGATATTGACGAGTTGTATCTATACTTGTTTATTCGTACTTTCCATTTTATTATCGATTTTTACAGTACGGTTAATAGGGCAGTTGTTTTGTATATGGATACTTGTTAACCTTTGAATCTTTAGTCTCGTTATATCGGTAATAACGCTGGAACAGAACTGAAACTGCGGGCGGAAATCTTAACACCAGGGTAACAATTTTGAAGTATAGCATGAGGCTTTTACATGAGTTATTGAACATTTTTCTCCCACATATTCTTAACATGAACATACGTCCTAATGGTGTGCTCAAGGAACCGTGCGATCATCAAAAGCGCATGAAATGATTGACAAAAGTGATGACGCTACCCTTAATTGTTGCACTGCATAAAGTAATGACGTGATATGGTGACGTTTTTAGAATAAAAGTGCACGTGAGCTGTCCTTTCCTAGGTAGGTAAATATAGGTTTATGGTTTCCTTAGCAAAGGGGAATGCAACTCAAGTATTTCGCAGAATTTAACAACCTTGAAAAAAAGTTTTGTTTGGTACAATACCCACCACACAGTTTGAGACGAATCAGTCGTCGGGTTTATGTGCGGTCTATAATAATGTAAATCAATCAAAACATTAAAAAAACAACATTGGCCAATCCCTATTTTATAAACAAAAGGCCCATGGGCCTAAACGGTCATCTGACCACAAAGACTGAGCAGGGAGAAAGGTAACTTTTCAACTTTCAATGAAATAATCTCGATCCCACTGTTGGAAGTTTAAAATTTGTTTTTTAAGATGGCGGTCTTAGTGGCCATCTTGGATTTTGCAATGACCCGAAAAATAACAACACTTGGTCAGACCATCTCAGAATCATTTCAGGCAAGTTTCAGCTCACTCCCCCTTGTGGATCTTGAGAAGAAGTTTAAAATAGGTGTTGTTTAAGAAACCATGATTGGGCAATTATGTTACAAAATGGCCACCATGGCTGCCATGTTGAAGTTTTGACGGGACTGAAAAATAACAACACTTTGTCGGCTTACTTTCCTTAACATCCCCACCAATGTTTAGCTCAATGGCACCAGTGGAACTGGAGAAGAAGTTTAAAATGCGTTTATTTATATGGCGGCCATGGCGGCCATCTTGGATTTTGGACCGACCCGAAAAATAACAACACTTGGTCAGGACCATCTCAGGCTCAGGATCATTTCAGGCAAGTTTCATCTCAATCCCATTGGTGTAACTTGAAAAGAAGTTTACAATGTTGAAAGTTTACGGACGGCGCACGGCGCACGTGTACACTACAGACGGCAGACGACGACAGACGAAGGACAATGACGACCTAAAAAAACCCATGTTTCTATGAATAGATGTTTAATGTATCAGCCATACAGTGATGCATTTCTCGTCACTGTCAATGCGGACAACCTATCGAAGATACAGTTATGCGGATCAGAGAATTAAACTCTACCGCGAATTAAATGATTTCATTCCAATTAACTTGCAGCTACAAGTGTAAGTTGTAGGGAAAGGACTTCATATAAGTTGTTAAACTTGTGCCCAACTCCCATTGTATATAAATTAAAATAAAATATGTTCAAATGAACAAATTCTCCTTCGATGATTGTCAATAGAAGCCCACAGAAAGGATTGGGTTATACCACGGAGTTAGATGAGATTGCTATCAAAGTGCGTGGTTATACATGTAAGTTTCATTGTAAAACGCTTCTTGTTATATACGTACGATGACATTGACAGCTCGTGCTATATTAAATTCCAGGGTATGAACATGCTTTAAATTTTCCAGAATGAAATGAAATACCCTAAAGATATTTCTTATATTCAATACAAATATAGCACCATGCATTCAAGAGCATGCTATGTCTTTGTGTTAACCGAACCTGTCTTACATAAACCATTGCTTATTGTGAAACGTGAGACCTCTAGGACACAACCGTTACACGGATGGCAGACAATATATCATTCTGTCTGGGAAACATAAAACCACTGACGGATGACGATAGCAGATATAGTTGTGGGTGTTTATTACGCAACTAAATAAATAAATCTAGACTGAAGCACATGAGGTCTACAAGGGGACGTCCCCAATCCACCACTCTGGCTATTGAAGGCGAACAGTTTTCATTCAATCCAGCTATGAGAGATGCACAGTTATGCATCAATCTTGCTACTTGGGCTGAGCAGTTGTGCGTCAATTTTGCTATTTTATGCTAACAGTTGTACGTTAAACTTGGAACTTGAGTTGAACAGTTGTGTGTTAGTCTTGCTGTTGGAGGTGAACAGTTGTGTGTTAGTCTTGCTGTTGGAGGTGAACAGTTGTATGTTAGTCTTGCTATTGGAGGTGAACAGTCTTGTGTTAGTCTTGCTGTTGGAGGTGAACAGTTGTGTGTTAGTCTTGCTGTTGGAGGTGCACAGTTGTGTGTTAGTCTTGCTGTTGGAGGTGAACAGTTGTGTGTAAGTCTTGCGTTTGGAGGTGAACAGTTGTGTGTTAGTCTTGATATTGGAGGTGAACAGTTGTTGTCAAGCTGTTATTGGAGGTGAGTATCCCCTACCAAAGTGCTGCATGTGAAGTTTCATGTTTCATATACTGGGTGAATGTCTGGTTAGGGGATATTCGAACCTGGGTTGTTAACAGTGTTGCACTCGGGGCGGAGATTTCTGAATAGGAGAGAGGAATGTTACGGGGCTGATTGTTCGCCGTCGACTAGGTAGCTCAATTGGTAGAGCGCCGTCAAGAGTTGGTGTTACATATCTGGCAATGCCGACAGTGATGAACTTCAAATATTAAAGCTAATAGCGCAAACGATTTAGTTGTGCAAATCCTATTAAGAATATTTAATTAAGGAACTAAACTACTTTAATGTGGCAAATGAAACGAGGGACGTTATATCGAAGTTTTATGAAACAGAATACTCTAAACTAAATGATGTTTCGAAATATAAATTTCAGGAAATTTCTTTCTGCCTTTTGAGTCTGAGTATCTGGATTAAAGTCGATATAAAAAGACATACAGTGAAACCTGTCAATACGACCACCTTTGTTACTATTAATAATCAAACCTGTATTAAGAGACCAAAACAAAAAGTGGTCTCTTAACACAGGTGGTCCCTTAATTCAGGTTGAATTCACAATGAAATCACTGAAAAAAATGATTTTCTTTATTCTAGTGATTTCATTGTGAATTGAACCTGAATTAAGGGACCACCTGTGTTAAGAGACCACTTTTAGTTTTGGTCTCTTAATACAGGTTTGATTATTAATAGTTTAATCACATGACAATATGGAAAGAGCATATTTTTTATTGTTTTCAATTGCATACAGGTTTTTAATTCCATCAATTACATTGACAAGTATGAGGCAACGACAACAGGGCCCGGATGTTCAAGGCTACGGTAAGCGTAACGAGTCATTAACGGATTTTTTTAAAATGCACCTGATAAGAAAAAAAGTGACAATTTGTCAACGTTATTGTTTTTCCTGTATGTGTTTAGACGATCATTTTGTATTCCGTTACATTATTTTTGGTTTTGACATCCAATATTAAAAACGTTAATATTTTTTTTGTACAACTTTTTGACATTAAGCTAATTGGCTCTCGAACATCTAAACCCTTGAGACGACATGGCGACACGCTGTTTCTGTTATGACGTCATCATCAGCGGTTAACCGGAATCTGTCCAATCATAAATGTGTCGATGAAATAAATAAGGAACGTACGTACGCTAAGCATATATTTCAAATGACAAAATCGGTTTTCTAATCACATCCGGAAGTGTCCGGAGTAACTGGGTTCCGTCCTTATATCATTAGCATAGCCAATTCACTTTTTTTTTTTAAAAAGATCTTACATCCTGCAATGCTGTGCATTCATAAAAACTATAAATGCCATATCATATCAACCCAATTAAATGCTTATATTTAACATTTCTGGAATGTTTTAACATCATCAAAGTAAAATTTGCACAAAAAAATCCATCATATAGTTCATATTAGTGTATTTATCGCGTATGCATGTTCAGTGAATGGAACAACCGTCTTCCATGGATATTCGTTGGTATCTAACATTACTAATATGATGCACAAATAATGATGACGTCAACACATGGGCATGTCATAACTTGGTAGGGTTATTTAAGCATTGAACTGCTTTCAGTTGGCGTTCATAGACAATTAAAATGCCAACTGAACAAAGGCAAATTCAATGAAGCGCGCTAGCGCATCATGTTGGATTTACCTTTGTCCAGTTGGAATTCATATTACTTATGAAAACGAACTAAAAGCAGTTCAATACTTATATTTAATATTTTTGGAATATGTTCAACTCCTAAAAAAATCAAATTACACTCATAACTTTTCAGCATTAAGTTAAAATAACAAGAATGACATCAACAATCGATCAATGGTATTCATAGTCTATATGAATGCCAACTGAATTTGGTAGGGTGATATAGTGGCAATGGCATACGATGGTAAATATAGAAGTATAAAGTAGAATTGCCGTAGATAGGTTAATATATATTGTTTAACTGGCTACGTGATCAGATGAAAGAAGCACTGTCTGTACATTCTACGTAACAATAGTCCATATTGGGATCACTACCCTTCCGTTCTTCCACGTTTATACCAATCTCAAATCGATAGTTCACTTTCGTTTCCCTAACGTAGGCTCTTGGTATTATTATAGTAGAATGTCGAGTATCCTTTTTCGTTCGGGACTTTTCTGCATTCATCGAATGTTTCGCTATAATGACTTTGTTTCCATATGAACCTGAGGATTGAAATGTAGCCATGTAATTGCAGCATTTTGATCCAGGACCGGAAGTAGTTTTGAGCTTGGTCTTTTTCTGTCTACATGGGCAGCTTAATGTGTTACACCGGCATTGATGCATCGTAAAGATGGCGTAAAATACGGGGTTCACAGCACTATGAACCATGAAAATAATTTCAGACACTTTTAGAGCTTGTTTAAGTTGGAATTTGTAATCACTATAGATACGTATTAAAGAAATCGCAAAGTACGGCATCATGCAAACAAGGAATCCGATAATCACTGTTAGCGTCATTGTCACAACGCGCATGCGTGAAGCTGATATAAGGTTCCGTTTGCCGGACATTCTTGGTGATGAGTTACGCCCCCTTATACTAGAGCCTCGACTCCAGACTACTTTGGCGATATTATAGTAACAATAAAACATGAGAACAGAAGGAACGAGTAAAACATACGATGAAAAAAATGTGAAATAAAGTTTACGTTGCCAAGGGTGATCGTATCCATGACTTAAACATTTAAGTTTGGTCGATCCGTCACTTCTTGTGACGCGTTCCTCCTTAAAAATAAAAAGCTGTGGTACTGCGAATATCAAGGCAAGCGTCCACGCCAGCGCAACTTTCGTCCATATTTTGGGTCTGTTTGCAAGTGATTGCATTGGCCGGACGATGACCTGGTAGCGGTCAATGCTCATGCCCGTAAGGAGGAAAGTAGCACTGGCCAGAGTGACCACTTGCAGATATACGGTCAGTTTACATAACACCGGACCGAGTACCCACTCTCCAAATGCAACGAAAAGAATCTCCGTCGTCATGGTGATGCACGCGACCGCCAAATCCCCAATTGCAAGGTTTGTCATGAAGATGTTTACTCTTTTAACCCTTCTACTTCTCTTCCATAAAAGAAGCACAATCATCAGACCGTTACCAACAAGAGTTACCACCAATATAAACATCACCGTGGTTACAGTAGTAACTATTTCCGGTGTCCATACATCCGGGCTATCAGATACAGGTTCACTTATGTTTGTTGTGACTTGTTCGAAACCAGCTGTGGTACTTGTCATGATGTCGCAGTTTATCAAACCGAACAGCTCATGTATCCAACCTGAAATCATATATACAGTTGTATAATTATAGCCATTTCAATCGCTACTTATATGTACTTTGATAATACCATGTGTAAAATACCTTTTTTCTTCTTTTTTTTTTCTCGTTTACGGAAAGTGCCGACCGTTCCCGATCGAGGGGAGAAGTACGCTTTTGGATCTAAATAAATAGGATGGATAAACAGATAGTTTTTTTATAACATATTTTTTACAAAGGTTATATATAAACACCATACCTACTTCAATAGTTTTGTTTTTATTATTTTCCAACAAATATCAAGGAAGACATGATGAAAAATTATAAGAAAATTAAAAAGCATAAAAAATGACTTGGCCTGAGGCGTTTGACAACAAGATTGAATCAATGAGTATCATCATAAAAAACTGTTGACACAATAGTATACAGAGTAAAATGAGATTTATCACATTTACAATTCTATCAAAATAGCCAAAATATAAGAAACGTTTTACTGACGTGGTACTATTCCAGCAAAAATACCAGTTTCGTTTTTAATCAAAGTTATAACACACTTGTAGATAAATGGCGAAACTGCTGCCAGTCATGCAATGGGTGTCGTCACATGACACTTGTAGATAAATGGCGGAACTGCCAGTCATGCAATGAGATGAGGGTCGTCACACAAACAATAATTGATATATCTGGGCAGACGACCGTTATCATTCAAATGTACGTGACCGGAATACGTGCTTACGTATCTGTTTGATTTCCATGTGGCGCCCTCTGTAGTCGTCCACAAATACAGATAAGATTGCCGGCACATTATCAACCATTGATTGGACCTACACACGAACTTAAAGTCAGTACACAGTATACTTTATAGAATAAAACAAGGAACGTATGTGACCTTGCTATATTTACATCTCTACAGCACGTCTCTATACAAAGATTTGTGTTCTATTTCCAAACCAGGTGACTATCCAAAATATACCAATAAATGCATTTATTGATTCTCGAATAAGTCTTCTCAGTAATAACGATAAAAAAATGGATAAAATCTTCGCGTTTCATTCGCAATATTTAGAGCAAAGGTTTCAGGCGAGGCCATTGTCCATTGCTGTGTAGCGTGATGATGAAATCACTGTTAAAACTGCGAAAAAATACATTATCTTGCAGTTTTTACTGTCATAGTATATTCGAGTATTTGACATCATAACAACAAAAGTCTGTAGAGGCACTGTAGTCAAGGTAGGACGCCGGGCTGGTGACAGAAGGGTTGCGGGTTCGAGTCACGTCACGGCGCTGTGTTGTATCTTTAAACAAGATACTTGACTCCGCTTGTTCTAGTCCACGCAGCTGTAATTAAGTACGTGGTTGTGTAGTGCTGGACATGTGTATTGCTAGCTGTGAGCGCCGAAATGGCTGCACCGGCTGTATGCTCCACAGGGAGTTGCGAAAGATATTTGGCTGGTTGCAAAGGCCCAATAACCACGGATAATAATTTGTGAACCGCTTTGAGACGACCTAAGAACAAGGTTGTGATAAAGCGGTATATGAGAACCTCAAATTATTATTATTAATAACAATAGATGGTGAGGTTGCTTCTTCTATACACAAAAGAGAATACGGCTCTGAAAGAGGTTTGAACTCTTCTACGGGATGCTGACTGTTTGTGGTATCATATACTTCCTTAAGCCATAAAGGATAAGAGGGTACGATGATCACATGTAGTCTTGGTTGTCAATCTTGTGATACCTGATGGTAGAGTTTTTTTATAATCACGGTTTTTCTTAGAATTAATCAAGTCAGCAAAGACTATGTTATACCTTACATCTTTTGTGTGTTTGTTTGTTGTTTATTTAATGACGTAACAGCACGCGACAGGTCTGATACCACAGACAGGGGAGTAATGGAAACGATCAGGGGATACACTTACAGAAGAAGCTCACTGACACTGCCTACTTTAGTCGCCTCAATAGCATCCTATCGGCCAATTCCGTCGACGGTTCCCAAATGTTCCAAGCCATGACGGAGTTGGCCGAGATGTTACGACTGTAATCGACTCGCACGAAGTAAAATTAGAAACAGCAGGCCAGTCATTTTTAATACCCCACCATGGGGAGACAACGGAGCTAATCAACGGGTTCGAAAGCAACAGCATGGCATGAAACAACGATTGGATACAATTGTATGTCGACAGCTCATCTTGTCGTATCGACTGAACAGAATTAATTAAGGATCCCCGTACCACTACCCACAGTAAATATGAATTGGAAACATTTTACTTGCATGAAGATAACTTTAATAAAGAAACCAATATCTTGTAGAAGTCTTTTTATAAAAATAATGATGAAGATGATTTTACTGTCGCTCTAACAAATTGAACTTGATGTGTGAAAATGATGCATGCACTCGCATGGTCTATCCTATCGCCCATTAATACATGGTTGTACCTAGTTAACGGTAGTTATCATGGCCCAGATCCATTACAATTAAATAAAAAACAAACTGAAGTGGTGGCTTCTGAATATGTTTATTACTATTTGTTTAATCGGTGAAATGCTCTAGTGTTTTGTCTTTAGTGACACATGGATCTTTAAGGAGACACTATACCGTCAAAACATGAACTGAGGTCGCGGGTGTTGTGTCAGACAATACTGCAGTACATATTGTTTTGGCTTTCGGTGTACCATTGGTGTACCATTGGTGTACCATTGGCGTACCATTGGTGTACCCACCCACCCGAACCGGCAGATTTTTACGGGATTGTATCTGGATAAATAGGACCCAGATTATTTCTGGATTGTACAGCTTGTTTCCTCCACGCTACCGGATATATCCGAGACATGTGCGTTATTAACGTTTAACGTGTCCGTGTATTTCAAGTATCGTGGTGTGATCTCGATAGTAAAAACAAAGCTGGTCTGTTTTGGAATTAGCTGTGTCAACACGAAAAGATATTATACGACATGGAAGTCCGACATATTGGATTTTATTTCTGATTAGCTGATGTTCTCTCCAGTATCATACATAATCCGCGTGGCCTCATATCGGGTTTTTCATATTGGCTAGGTTGTATACAATACCAATTATTTTTGCACATGGATGGAGATGCTGGTATTAGCTATACTTTAAGATGAGATCGTAATTGGGACGGATGACAGTATAAATACGTTCAAATGCTACTTATTAACGAAAACCGCGAACCCAACAGTACACGATGTTTGCATATGTTATAGATCAAAGTCAGAATGTGAAAATAACGTCATAGAACAAGTAAAACCGCTGTAATACTGAAAATACGGTAAAAGATCAAATTTTGACAGCGATAAAGCTGTTATTTATCAAGTTAAACCATTTTCTCAGTGTTGATGTACTAATGACGACAAAACCAAGGCTTTGTAATTCCAAATTTGATGTTATTTTTTTGTGTTCAAAGTTCTGCGCGTGATATTGGTGCGCTTCACTGACTTTGCCTTTGTCTGTTTGGCGTTCATACTGCTTATGAATGTCAAATGAAAGCAGTTGATTGGTTAAAAAAACTCTCTTTGTTTTTAATGTCAACTACTCTTATGAAATTTTCGAAACAAATAATTTTCAATATATTTTCGTTGATCGAGTTATCTCTTAGTAAACCAAACTTATTGTGACGATTAAGGCTGCAACGATACATTAACATGACAATACGATACGTATCACGATACATATATTAACAGTAGATGCAAAGAGAAAAGATATGCTGCAAAATGTTAATGGCAATATTACAACTGGAATTAGACTTGGTCCAAAGTAGTTATGACTTTAACGTTTCACACAATTCACGGCTTTTGTCGTGCATGCCGAGCTGGAGCTGTCACTCGCCATGTGAGAACCGATATGAGTAGACTAAATTCATAAACGACAAAATCCTGAAAATATCGTACTCCAAAACAATATTGTGTATCGTACAGTGGATCGTAATCGAAAATATCGCGATATATCGTTAAAACCCTAGTGACGACACAATTGTTAGATTTGCTTTATCTTACATGTTTGCTATTTTGTATAACCTTCGTTTGATTATTATACAAGAAGACCAAATCTTTTTTATGGGCGGATTGGTGGAGAGGTTAACACTGATTCTTCGACGCATGAGGCCGGGGTTCGATCCCCGAAGTCGCCGTACGCATGGAATATTCAGAGAAAGTGTTTTTTTCCTCCTGCGCACACAACTCCAACAACCCAGACGGATGTTGTCTGGGTCTAGGGTTGATGTTGTGGTATATGTGCTGTAGCATTCAAGTGAGGTGGCACAATAAATGACACCGTTGGAAGCACGGTCCCACTACAAACAGAACACAATACATCTCCAGCACACACACGGGCATACACACATAGGGAGATATTAGCCAGGTGGCATAGGACTAGTAGTTAGCGCCTGATAAGGCAGGTCCTG